TCCCCCAGGAACAATTCGGCTACGCTCATTCTTATCATCCCCAGGGATACCAGCGACATCAACGTCTCCACGACAATTTTGGACGAATTTGTGTCTTCCCTTCGGGAGCTGTGTACTCGCACTGCACCGCTAGACACAGAGGTGTTTTTGACGGGCAGCCTAATCATTGATTCCGAGATGCGGCTAGGCGACGGAGGCTTGGAAGCGAATTTGTTCCGCATGCATGTTTTCGTTGCACCTTTTGCAGGGCTGATATTTTGGGCGCTGGTGGACGACGCCAGACTGTTGTTATTCCCCCCAATGGCAGCTTTGGTGACCTTGCTGGTCACATTCGCGCTGACGAAGCCAATGGCCGAGGTGGTGCCAGTGTCGCCAGATTTTCTTGCGACGACGGCGGCCATCTCTTTGGCATTCAGCCTTGATTCCTCTCGCTTTGCGGGGTGCCCGTCCAGAACCCGCAAAAGTCTGGGCGTTGGTTGCTTTGCCTCACTGGTCTTCCGTGCCGTTTGGCCGTTGGGAGGTTTCTCGGGGGCATTTGGGCGGCGTCAGAGCGGGTTTCTCGCGGCCTCTTAGGATAATTTGCTGGGCCTTCGGGAGGCCTCCTCGGTGTCTCTTGGGGCCTCTCCGAGAGGTCGTTGAGCCTTTTAGGGGCAATCTTCGGGGAGAGTTGGGACCATCTTGGGCCGTCTTGGATCCATCTTGGACCATCTTGAAACCATTCAGAGCCGTCTCGAGGCCCTCTTCGACTTTTGAGAAGCACAAGCACGCCAAAATCAGTGATGCCCCTCAGGTGTTTGGACGTTTTGAATCCAAAGGATTCGGCCACCTCTGGTCTTCGGATGTGGCGTGACACTGGTGGTGGGGGTTAGGGAGAGCACATAAGCATATGAGCTTGCACCACTGTGAGATGTATGAGCATATATGAGGTATGTTGCATGAGAGACTCTGCGTGTTGTATCGTTTTGCGTCCCGCAACCCGTCACTTTCGGACGTGGGCTTTTAACGCTGATACCGAATCCGATGAATACTTGACATTTAGAGACTGCTGTTGGCCTTTGCAGGCGCTGATTCAGGAAGTGAGAGATACAGACGCGGTTCCCAGACAGTGACTCTGTGCAATATGTAGGGTGCAACACTTGAGCCACGGGGTGCGATATTTGATGTGGAATCTTCTGGGTGATGTGCAATCTTCTGGGTGCGATTGATTTCGACCGTCCACAGCTGTCAACCCCACTGCCCGTGCAAACATCCCATCCACCAGCCAGCAACTTGCTTAGCAAAACCCATTCGGTCACGATTGCGGTTCCCGATTGGAATTTGACAGCGCGTCTCTACGGCCGCGTTGGCGCGCGCGCGCGCGCTCGCGCGCAAAGCGACCAGCTGGTTTAGCACAACTTATGCGGCCGCGATGGTGCTTACCGATTGGAACTCCCCAGCGCGTCTCAAAGACCGCGCTGGCACGCGAGCACTTCAGTTGCGGGTCGGTGACTTGGACGGGTGCGATATCACGATGGCGTTGACAACGGCGACAACGATGAGATAATAGCGATGGTCGTGGCGATGATGACGATGACGACGGCAAGGCCAATGACGGCGTCGATGCTGGTGACGACGATGACGGTGATGATGGCAGCAACGGCAGCGATTGACGATGGCGATGGCGGTGGTGATGCCGTGGCGCTCGTGAGGGTGATGAGGAAGTGCGCGCGCAGGTATTCAATACATCTGACAGACTTGCTGTTGAACCGTTACTGGTTCCTATCAGACTCTTGTAGATCTGTATTTTGGCATGTTTCGAAAACCAGTGGATGCGGAAGGATTTCGAAACGCGCGCGTGGCGGCGCGCGCATGTTGCCAGCATGGCAGTATTTGATGTTGACTTGTGCGCTGGGCGCATTCTAGATCAACGGGCATGCACCGCGTGATGACATGAGAATGTGGGTTCTGGACGAGATTCATAAAATTACATGGTTCTCCCATGATTTCTCCATGTGCGCTCGAGCCGAACAGAACCATGATGCAAACACAACCAATTGGTTGTTGATGTGTTTTGATGTTGATTAGTTTGCAGCGCGCACGTGTTTGATATGATTTCGACTTTGCGCGCGCGCGTATTGGCTTCGTGATTTTCTTTGCCGTCTGCCTGTCTGTACCAATGCATCCCTGACGGACTGGTGGGCATAAATTGATGAAAAAGTTCAGCTTGGATGTGTATTCGTACACAGGCCCGGGACAGAAGGGGGAGACGGGAAGGGGAAGGGGGGGAGGGAGACAGAGGGAAACCATTACAAAGATGTGCGCCCAAAATTGTGGATTGACGTCGCTCATTGTTGTCTCGGGCGCCCCCGGAGTCTGCGGTAGGCCTAGTTTGTAGGCACGCCGTCGGCATCGCACATTACGTAATCTGTTGACTTCTGAGTCGTCATTGTGAGGAGCGATTTTCTTATATAAGTCAGCTTGCCGGTCACTTAGAGTTGCACACAAAGGCTTGGCACTTGCTCGATCGAGCAGGGCGGGATTCGAAAGTCGGGGGAGAACAAAAACGCAATCTTTAGAATGTTCCGCAAGCTCTTGCAGTTGAAGGCGTCCAAATTGGCTTTGTCTCTTTGCAGAAACCATAGCGAGCCCAGCGAATACAACAGCTTGCTTAGCTCACAACTGCTATAGATGTGAAATTATCGTTTCTTTCCGATGTCGCAGTGCGTCCGTACTTTACGTAATAAATGGATTGTAGACATGGTGTACCAAGTCGTCTTTAGAGTTCGCTTCCAACTTGCTTGCCAAGAGTGATCAATCCCCAGAAGTAAACAGCTTCGGTCACGATCTTGTTCGCCATCCCGTCGAGATCCCTGACGCCTTCATATGTTGATATTGGAACTTGGACAGTAGTATCCCAACAGAACTGAAGGCAGTACTTTTGCCCTTCTACAATTGTTCTTAACAAGCTTTGCAAATTCTGCGAGCTCGCAGAGATTAGAGCGGTGACATCTGCGAACAGAACGTCCCCTGTGACCACGTAACTTGGCTGTTGCCAAATATTGAGATCCCAAAAAGCGTCGTGCAGCATAACACATTGCACGTTGATGAACGAGGAAGGCGATAAAGGACACCCATGGGCGATGACAGCTGCCTGGCGTCGTTCTGATGGTTTCCCAGAGTGGTCAACAATACTGAAAGAGCGGTGGGAAGAACTGCTCTTTCCCATTTCGACCATGGGTGGTGGCAGTCCAAAGCGAGCCGGGGCAGCGCACAGGCAGTCAGGAGTTAGACGGACGAGCGATTTTGTCTCTTCCTCCTCCTTCTCATCCTCCTCCCCATCCTCCTCCTAAACCCCCACCTCCTCCTCCTCCTCCTCCTCCTCCTCCTCCTCCTCCTCCTCCTCCTGCTCCTCCCGAACGGGCCCGGCCGCCCCCCTCCGCCCCCTGCGTTTAATACTGCTGGATCTCCGTCACACGGCTCACCAGCGGAAGTGTGCCACCAGTGCCCCAGAGAGGTCGAGATCCGAAGTGCGATTGTCGTCCGCGTGCCTCCGCCTCTCCTCGTACAAGGCGCCGGTGCAGTGGAGGCCCATTCCCAGAGGCACCCTGCCTGCCTCCAGGGTGCCCTGGGTTTCTTGGGTTTCGACGGTTTTGCGACGGAAAGCGTGACGACCAAAAACCTATGGACGTCCTGGGGTCTCTGGGGTCTCAGGGTTTGGTTTCTCGTGGAAGGTTTCTTGTGGACTGGCCTCCACTGTACAGCGTCTTTCTCTGCAAGGGGATGGTCCATGGTCTCTTGAGGGGTAAAGGAGTGCGCGCTTTGTGCTGTTTGACAGGGATGGTGGGGTGTGTCGATACCGATTGGTTACCCTGGACCAGAGGGTGGTGCACGTCGCGCTGGAGGAAGACGAGGACGAGGAGGAGGTGGACCTGCAGGACGCGCAGGAGGACAAGTCGAAGAAGAAGAAGAAGAAGCAGCAGCAACTGCATGAGCGTAAACTTTTCGGAGCTCCGCGCGGATCTCTTGGCACGGCGCTGGGCCCCCCCGGCGGCGCCTCCCGCGCCGCCCCCGGCGCGCTCCGCGCAGCGGGGAGGGGGGAATTGTCCAGCGGCGATCCAGGAAATCCTTGCGGAGCTCCTAAAAGTGATGGTGCCAGCGTTTCTTCTTCCAACGATGTGGAGACGAGGGAGAAAGAGAGAGAGAGAAACAAAAAACAAAAAGAAAGAGGAAAAGGGAAAAGGGGAAGGAGCCTTGTTGGGGCTTTCTTGGGGCTTTCTTGGGCTGCACGCTGGCTCTCTGGCTGGGGGCCCTCTTGGGTCGTCCAGGGTCCCGCCAAAAGTTTGGTTGATCCTCTTGTGCTGTCTGGCGAAGTTCCTGGGCTGTCTTGGAGACTTCTCCCGAAGCGCTCTTGAGACCGTCTGGCACTGAAAAGCATGAGAAGCGAAGTCAGTGCAAGACCTAATTGTGTGATCTCTGGCTTGTACTGGGGCGGGCCTCTATTCGGGTCTCTCGTACGATTATTGCGAAGGCCTTACGGCCGGTGCCGCCGACCCTGAAGCGGGATGTCGACGACGACGGCGGCCGTGGCAGCGGCGACGACGACGACGCTGACGTGGGCCCGAGTCCTCAGGAGATGCTTCTTGGGGTCTCTTGGGAGGAATTTGGGGGTCTCTTGGGAGCCTCTTGGGACCTCTTGGGAGCCTTTTTGGGTGTCCTTGGGGCCTCTTGTGGGCTTCTTGGGGCCTCTTGGGAACATCTCGGGGCCTCCTGGGAGCTTCTCGGGGCCGAGGGCTCGAAATGTCCGTTCGGGTTCCCTGTCAAGGCACGCTCTTGGAGCCGTCTTGGGGCCTCTTGGGCCGCCTTGGAGGCGTTTTGGGTTGTCTTGGGGTTCTCTTGGGATGTTTTGGAGCGTTCTTGGAAGCCTCTTGGGGCGATCTTGAGGGCCTCTTCGGCTGTCTTGAGGCGGCGGGAAGCAGAAAAGGCGAGAACGCCCAAATATGTTTAAAACCTAAGGAACATCCATGAATTGTGCCTCTTGGGGCCCTCTCGGGAGTGCCTTTGGAGGCCTCTTGGGACCCGCTTGGGCATCCTTTGGAAGAGTCTTGTAAGTCCAGGGGCTTCTTGGAGATCTCGTAGAGAATTCCTTGGGACTTTTTTGGGCTTCCTGGACTGCGCGGGGGTTCCGGGACCGCGCGGGGACCGCGCGAGGGTTTCGGAATCGCGCGGGGAAGAAGCGTATTTGGGTGGCGACCCCCCTCGAGACCCCCCCAGGACACAGCCAGGACCCCCCGCCCCCCCCCCCGCGCGGGGAAGGGATCAAAGGGAAGGAGCTTCCCTTCAATTCGATTGCGACATTGCGAGGTTTTTCTCTCGCAGGAGGGTGCAGGGAAAGGGGGCGATGCAGACGACGACTGACGGAGACGACGACTCGAACAGACAAACCCCTCGCGGCGGATTCCCGCCTGAGCCGGATGAAATTCCGTGCCCTCCGTTGACTGACTGACCGATTGAATTGGATTGACTGGAATGGAGGGGCACTTTTGACAGCACATTTCGCCCGCGGGCGCAACCGCAAGCGCAACCAGGCGACACATTTCAACTCGCCCGCGGGCGCAACCACAACCGCAACCATGCGAAACATTTCAACCCGCCCGCGGGCGCAACTGTAACCGCAACCACAACCAGGCGGCACATTTCAACCCGCCCGCAGGCGCGACCGCAACCACCCGCAACCACGACCAGGTGACACATTTCAACCCGCCCGCCGGCGCAATTGCAACCGCAAGCTAGCTACGCATTTCAACCCGCCCGCGGGCGCAACCGCAACCGCAACCAGGCGACACATTTCAACCCGCCCGCGGGCGCAACCGCAATCGCAACCGCAAGCTAGCGACACATTTCAACCCGCCCGCGGGCGCAACCGCCCGAGGAGCAGGATGTGCAGGAGCACGAGGAGGAGGTGAGAGGAGGGAGAGGCAGAGGAGGAAGAGAGGGAGCGGGAAGAGGGGGATGGGCAGGACGGCCAGGAAGAGGAGGAATAGGAGGAGGAGGAGGAGGAGGAGGAGGAGGACGACGACGATGAGGAGGGAGATGCAGGGATGGTCGTGTTTCAGGGGGGGTCAGGAGCAGGTGCCATTGGAGGAGGAAGGCCAATGGCACGATAGGAAGATGGAGGACCTGGAGGATGAGAAGGAAGAGGAGGCCGATGAGGAGGACGAGAAGAAGGATGAGAAGGAGGAGGGGGAGGAGGACGCGTTGCCCGCGTTTCTCCGCCGGGACGAGGAATCCCCATTCCACGCTGCTGCATCTGATTGTGGATTCGTTGGCCTCCTGCGTCGCTTTGGACAACTTCATGCAGTTTCTTGGACTGCCAAGACACTTTTGCAGCATCTTGTGGGCCGTCATGAACGTCTTAGGGGGCTCAGGGCTTCCGAAAGCGCCACACACCCTCCATCGCGAAAGTCCACTCCCCAGGGGCGGGGGGGGTCAGGGGAAGGGCAGACGTCTTCCACGCTGGTGCCAAAGTGAAGTGGCTGGCGAATTATTCGCTATTGCTTCTGATGCGGTTTGCCGAGGAACGCGACTGCAGCATTGAGGCACGAGTTCGCGTGCTGTTATTCTCCACAAGCCACACCATAGCGGTGAGCGCTGCCTTATGTATGATAGTTCTGCTGTTCTCCTGGCTATTGCCGGTGCTGAACTTGGCTATCGGGAGCAGCAGCGCCGCCATCGGGCTCGCGGTCTGCGTCTGCGTCCATCTGACTTTTATCCCGGCTTGCCTGCTTATCCGATTGCGTTGCCGCGCGATTCCGCCACTGTGTCGGGCGGGTGCGGACGGGGGGCCTTTGAAGGGGGGGCGATGGGGGTAGGTTCGGTAGCAAATCATGGGAGCCTGGTTTACCCTCGCAATTCTGTCGTTAGCGTCGATGAGCGTCTGGGAGTCGATGAGAGCGCCGATTTAGCGTCGGCTAGCGTCGATTTAGCGTCGATTAGCGTCGGTTTGGCGTCGACTAGCGTCGATCTGCAAGAGCCGACGAGATGGCATGGGAGGCTCCCACGAGTTGCCGCCGAAGGGGTATGGGGTCCTGGAGCCCCCCGTGCCCCAGGCCGTGCACCAGGGGCCGCTCCCTGCCTGGAAGGCCCAGAGCACGCAGGGATCAGGCTGCAAACGCGAGCGCATCTTGGGCTCGGTGCGTCGGGGGGCCCTAAGCTCAAGTCGGGCACGTCCCCCCACAGGAGGAATATTCAAAAGTAGTCAAAAAAAAAGCCAGGGGACGATTTTGCACTACTTTTGACACTTGTTGCAGATGTTTTGAATCTTTTCTAGTTTTCGCCCAAAATCCCCCTGTAGGGGGACACGCCCACCTAACCCTGAGTACAGGTGTCGGAAACAATTAAGCAACACCCATGCAGAACACACAGTGTGAGCTCCCCCCCTCCTGCCAAATGCAATGTTGGTTTCGGATTTGCTGCCGATGTTGGGCCTCCGAGCGGTCTTCAAAGAACATGCCAACTTTGAACTGCAAGGGAGGGGGGGGGATTATGATGTTCCAACCTACTTTAGCCTGAACTACCAGAAAGACTTTCGAGCACCAAGAAAGTACCGATTCTGGAGGGTTTTCACGTGTCGGGCTCTGGGAGGCGATACTCGTTCGACATCGTTTCGATACTTTTCTGGGTGCTCGAAAATATTTCTAGGATTTGGCCCTTAAGAGCGATGGAAGCAACAGAAGGGGGGGAGTGTTGGTTAAACCGTAGTGCTTCGCAGAAAGCCAAAGGGCCCGACGCACACCAGCCGCCGCAAGCGCGGTGGCGGATATGCGGCCCATGGGTGCACCGGCCGAGCTCTGGCCGATGTTGCTGCAAGGCGGGACGGCAGCACTCCACACCGACCGACCGCTCGAGCGAGCGGTTTTGGTTGCGCATTGTCCGTTGCATTCAGTCGAGGCCAACGGTCGTCACGGCCGCCGTTGTGACGATCTGCATGCCGCTGGTATTGGCAGCGTGTGCGATGCGACCCGTATCAGACAACTACATGCTGCTACCATACGATTTGCCCAGCTTGCAAGCGTTGCATACGTTGGAAGATTATTTTCCTGGGGGCTTCATCTGAGGGACAAGAAAGTGTGCCTACCCACCGAAAAGAACGGGGAAGGGATGGCGAGGGGAAGGAATGGGGGAAGGGGGCTGAAGGTGGGAAAATGGGACAGGTCATTTTTTCGTCCCCCATAATCGAGCCGTATATGCTGACCATTCATGCGCCACCCGACAAATTGCTAGATGCTTCGGGCTACCATGCAGCATCAGACTTACACATGGATCTGCGCGCCATAAAGGACATAAGTTACATAATGAGCCCTTACCAGTGGTTGAACAATTCAATCACTTGGGACATGGTCACGACGTTGAAGACCTCTTACAACCCGCTGTATTACAATCGCAGGAAACACTACGACCATTTGCTAGAGATAACCTCGAATGGCGACGTTGCGCTGGCGATGGTGTACACGAAGTTCGCACCGCACGGGTACAGGGCGTCAGAGTGGGTTATGCAGGTGCGGGCGGTTCTCAGCGCTTGGGAGTTGCGCCACAGGGGCTATTCAGCTTTACTAGGCGGCGGGGCCTCCGAAGCCACTGATGTCCGGTTGGCAGTGGAGGGAGCCATGCCCCGGTACTATTTTAGCGTCGTATTCGGGATTGCATTGATAATGTTCGCCGCCTTCAGGAGCATCGTATTGCCGTTGCGATTGGCGTTCGCTTTGATGTTGAGTATTGCCGTGACTTGGGGAGTCAGCGTGCTTGTTTTCCAGACCACTTTGTTGCACTGGGCCATTCCCCACCTGCGGCACGTGGGCGGTATCGATAGCACGGTGGTGCCATTGGCCACCGGCTGCGCCGCAGGCCTTGGGTTAGATTACGACGTCTTCCTTGTTGGCCGCGTCATCGAGTATCGGCAGAAGGGCTTTACCAACGCCGAGGCTGTTGCGAGGGGGGTGTCGAAGACAGGCAGCATGATCTCGGGAGCTGGGGCGATCATGTCCTTAGCCTTCAGCGCGCTCTTCCTCTTCAAGAAGGTGCTGCTCCACCAGTTCGGGTGCATCCTGGTCGTCTCGGTGCTGCTGGATGCCTACCTCATGCGGACCGTGCTGGTGCCCGCGCTCATGCTCGCGGCCGGCGAGTGGAACTGGTGGCCCAGGGAGATGCCCGAGCCCACGCGCGACGGCACCGCGGACGACTCCAGCGACGCGGGCTGCGAGCAGGCTCCGGAGGACGGTGGCGCACTGAGCGACCACAGCCGGGACAGCCAGGGCAGCAACGCCGCCCTGGTGCCCAAGCCCGAGGCGGGGCCCGTACCCTCCGTGGTCGGCCGCTCGGGCAGCGCTGCCCGGAGCCGCAGCGCCAAGAGCCCCGCGTGAAAGCCATGCTTCTCAGGGGCACCACGAAGCTGGGGGCAAGGGCCCTCAGGAGCCACCGGGTCCGCTCTGGAGCGCCATGCCGCACAAGATTGGCATCGCCGAAGGGCCACCGTGAGCCACGGGCCACGGGCCACGAAATCCGCTTGTGAAAGACACCCTACACACCAGGGCCACGAGAGGTCATTGGCCACAGAATCCATGGTTCCCTGGGGCTCACCCGAGAGGACTATATAACAGCTGAGTTGTTGGCTTGGGGTTACTCTGCGTCCTAGGCTGGCGTGGTGCTCGCGAGTCTTGGTGAACCCAATCCCGACTCTGAGTCACTGGAGCGCGCCCACTCACGAACCGCGACAGCGTGCCAGCAGCTCACTCCCCCCCACCCCCTCCTCCTCCTCTTCCTCGTTCTCATCCTCCTCCTTTTCCTCCTTTTCCTCCTTTTCCTCCTCCTCCTCCTCCTCCTCCTCCTCCTCCTCCTCCTCCTCCTCCTCCTCCTCCTCCTCCTCCTCCTCCGTCCGCCTCCCCTCCCCAGTACGATTCTGAGTCGCTGGAACGCGCGGCCTCGCCCCTGGAGAGAGCGCGCTCTGCCAGAATCTGGCGCCTGGGTGCGACTCTGAGCGACCGGAAAACGCGCCAGCCTCGCTCCTTGCGAGCATCGCAAATCGGGCATGTCCTCTGCAGGCGGAATACTCAAACATAGTCAAAAAATAGGATGGGGATGATTTATCTAGTATTTTTGTTTATGTTTGAAATTCGCCGGCCCAACGGGTGAGAGGCGTGCTAAGATCTCCGGTAACTGGTTAACAATTCTTCTAGTTCGCGCGCGCGGGGCGGCCCCTGGGGGTCCCCCGGCGAAAAGTACCCTGACCGCAGCCCGGGAAGGTCTACTCAGAGATGGTTTTGAAGGCCTTTTTCGACACCCCTCACGAGGATTGTGGCCTCCGAGGGGGGTGCACTCAACTACCCCGCCCCAAGAGGCCCCTAAGAGCCCCCCAAGAGGCCCAAGGGGGCCCCAAGACGCCGCCAAGGAGCCCTAAGAGACCCCCAAGAGGCCCCTAGGAGGCCCCAAAGATGCCCCCAAGAGGCTTCAAAGAGGCCCCATAAAGCGCTCGAGGGCCGGCGGAATGAGCGAAGCGATTAAATATGATTCGAGTATGTTAGATTTTTGTCCAAAATCCGCCTGTGGGGGGGACATGCCCTGCATAAGCCTACAGTCGGACCGAGGTGTGAGATCGAGGTCGGTTTGGGGAGGGTACCCTAGTGTTCTTCGTCTTTGCTGGATGTTTCGCTACAGCGGTGTCCCCGTTCAGTCAGCTCCGTCCGCCAACGCAGGCGACCCATGCCTGGCTGCCGACGCAGAAAGTTTGCTGGAGGTTCCTGTGCATCCTGCGGAGGGTACCCCTGGATGCTCTGTCTGTTTGGGCCGACGGGGGGTCTCAGCTTCTCAAGGGGTGCGCTTCTGGCCCAGGCTCGACCGCACCGAGCACCAGACTCCGGGCAGTGCAGCGGGGGGGCTCCTCCTCCTCCTCCTCCTCCTCCTCCTCCTCCTCCTCCTCCTCCTCCTCCTCCTCCTCCTCCTCCTCCTCCTCCTCCTCCTCCTCCTCCTCCTCCTCCTCCTCCCCCTCCTCCTCCTCCTCCTCCTCCTCCTCCTCTCCTCCTCCTCCTCCTCCTCCTCCTCCTCCTCCTCCTCCTCCTCCTCCTCCTCCTCCTCCTCCTCCTCCTCCTCCTCCTCCTAATGACCAGATGTCGGCTGCTGATCTGTTTCGTCTGCGCGGGAATGATGCTGCCGACAAGGCCGCTAAGCAAGGAGCCGCCCTTCATCCCAGGCCCTCCCAGCCTGATTTTGACGCGGTGGAGGACCTGGTGTTAATTAGCAGGACGGTCTGCCGCCTCGCGGGGGCCCTCCTCCCGCTCTGGCCCCGGCTTGACCTCACTGATTGCGAATACGCACCCACTGCTACACCGAAGCCACCCAAACCCGTGGGAGCTGTGCATCAATGGGTTTGGTTTCGGGGGATTTGGCGGTGCGAGTGTTGCTTGAGGTTCCGAAGGTCCCCGGCGAAGCCTTCGGAGGTTGGCTGTGTTGGCCACCCGCCTGCCGAGCTTGACGCCATTGCTCAGCAGGGGCACTCCTTGCTTGCACTCGGTTGCTCGGATGGTGCCAGCCTCTTTATCTGTGTCAGTTGCAAGGCTTACACTACTCTCGGACAATTTCGTAATTTGCTCGAGCCCTGCCGTCCCCTGGACAAGAAATCTGGAGGAGGCAGGAATGCTCTGGACCGTTGGAGACGGATCCAAAGAGGCTTGCACCCAAAAATTCATGGAGTCACTGTGGACCTTCTTCCCCCTCTGGGTGGGGATGGCAGTTTTGAGCAGCAAGGTGAAGCCCCTCCCAATGAGCTGGGCCCTCCATTGCTGACCCTCTGCGCCGTGTCGCCGACGCTCTGAGAGAAGAGGAGGACAACGCTCCTCTCGTCGTAGCTGGCCGCGAAGGTCAGGGTTCCTCGGGCGACTCGGACTAGCGGGTGTCGGGCCTGGGGGTGTCTTCCGTGGTTCCGCGTAAGTCACCACTGCAGGTCTCCCTCGTGCAGCTGCTGGTCTCAAGCGATTCCACCTGCTCGAACTGAGGTGGTTGTGGGAGCCATCTGGAGTGTGAATGTCAAACAAATCCTCCTCCTCCTCCTCCTCCTCCTCCTCCTCCTCCTCCTCCTCCTCCTCCTCCTCCTCCTCCTCCTCCTCCTCCTCCTCCTCCTCCTCCTCCTGCTCCTCCTCTTCCCCCTCCTCGGGGGGGCCCCCAGCTCCTCCCGGAGACCGAGGCTCCAGGGGAGCGAAGCGCTCGGGGGGGGGGGAGGACGCCGGGAGTCGTTTCGGATTGGCCCTGGAGCGGGCCCGCGGGCCCGAGGAAGCTGCGCTCCCGCGAGGAGGGGGCGGGCCCAGGTCCCCGAGGAAGCTGCGTCTCGCCTCGAGGAGTTGGCGATTCCCTCAGCGGCGAGAGCCCCGTCTCGCTTCCAGTGGCCTTCGCCCAGCCCTGCCGGCCCTGGTGTGTCAGCAAGTGTTGCAAAATATCACGTTGAGCCTGCATCCAAGAGTCCTGCCTGTCCGTACATTCACGCTGTGGAACCGACTGCTCATTGCACGCACGCAGGGTTGCTTGTCATTATCCAGATGCCTGCGGACAGTACTTGTAGTACCGAGATCTCCCGCAGAAGCTTGCATAACCATGATGATTTCGTGTGGGAAGCGGCGGTTGGATGTTGAAGCGTGGCCGTAAGGTCGTCTGATGCTTGCGTTGCCTCTTGAGGGCTCTTGGGATGAGAGCCTCTTTGGGGCCCTGTGGTGCCCTCTACATGGCCTGTCGGGTCCTTACTGGGGGTCTTGGGGCCGCCGGGTGCGATTGGTCCAGGTTGTACCGAGCTGCTGTCCCGAAGAGTCTCGGTATAACAGTGTTTGGCCGTCGCGTCGAGTCTTGGGGTCGTCTTAGAGGCTTCGTGGGGTAGTCGTGGGCAGTCTCAGGATGCTCTTGGGGCCGTCGTGAGGATCGCTCGGGGCCGTCCTGGAAGCTTCTTGGGGCCCTCGGGGCTCTCTGGAGCCTTCGCGAGGCCATCTCAGACCGGAGACGAGTCTGGCTGGGAGCGGCAGTCGGGCAGCGATGAACACGTCCGTTGGCCTCCCGGGGCCGTGCGGGGTGCCCCTCGGGCGCCCTGCGGGGGGCTCTCCGATGGGTTCGTGGTAGGCCATGGGCAGACAGCCAAGAGGCGTGACCGGGAAGAGCGAGGTGCAGCGGAAGCCCATGCCAGAGAGCACCCTGCTTGCCTCCAGGGTGCCCCGGGGGTTCCTGGGCCTCGATGGTTTGGCTGTGAAGAGCGTGGAACGCTCCCACACCCAAAAGTCGGTGGACGCCCTGGGGTCTCTCAGGGTTGGGTTTCCTGTGGGAGGCGACCTGTGGTCGAGCTCCTGACTGCACGAGTGGTGGCGCTCATGGCGGGGCGGAGTCTTCTGGGGCGTGGGTTGGGGTTCCAGGGGAGGGGCGAAGCGCCCCTCACCCCAAAACGACCCCAGAGGCCCCCAGAGCGGGACCCAAGTGGCGCCAAAGACGGCCCAAGATACTGCACCCCCCCAAGACGGATCAAGCGACGAGGTCCAGGACAGCTCCGAGACGGCCGCAGAGCGCTCCAAGAGGGCCAAAGACCGCCCAAGAGCGTTCCAAGATGGCCTCCGATGGCCTCGAGATGGTCCAAGAAGCCCTCAAGAGGACCCTCCTGAGGGCCTCAGGGACCAAAAAACATGGATATATTTTTGGGGTTTTGAACGTATTTAGGGTTCTCGCCTTCTCGGGCTTCCGACGGCCTATGGGGCTCAAAAGATTGCCCCAAGACGGCCCAAGGGGCTTGCAAGAGGGCCCCAAGACGGCCCGCGAGAGCCCCAAGACGGCCCAAGAGGGCTCCAAGAGGAGCTTAGAGGGCCCCAAGAGGCCCCCAAGAGAGCCCCAAGAGGGCCCAGGAGGCCCCCAAGACGCCCCACGACAGCCCAAAAAGGCCCCGAGAGGACCCCCGAGACGGGCGGAGATGCCAAATCCCCAGTGACGGACACAGCTTTGAACGCCAAGGCTCCCAAGAGCTCCCGATGACGCGAAAAGCCTTGGAGCCAAGGCGCCCAGCGCGAGCAAAGACGTAAAGAGCTCCGAGCGCCGGGGCTCCCCGAGCAAAGGGCGGTGCGTGAAGCGCCCGTTCCGCTCCCGTGCCTGCCCAGGTGACAGAAGGAGCGAGCTTGCGAGGCAGGAAGTTCTAGTGTTAAGTCGGGCGTGTCCCTCTTCAGGAGGAATATTCAAACACAGTCAAACAATGTCTGGGGACGATGTTTGGACTAGTCTTGACAAGTGTGGAGTATTTGTTTGACTATGTTTTATGTTCCGTCCAAAATCCGCCTGTAGGAGGACACGCCCGACTTGATTCTAGTGAAGCGAAGCCGTCACGCTCCAGAGCGCAGTCCCTGGAGGGATGTTG